ACCTAACAGTCAAATGTTAATTTTGATTTTTTTATACTTTTTTTTTTTAAAGGACAGTGTGTAAAGTAGATGGTCTTGTTATTCTGGCTGCTGCATCTGATGTTACAAACTCAATGCTTATATTACCAGGCTGTTAGTCTGTTTGATACCTTTTAATAAGCATCATTTCACATAAGGTCTCCTTCCTTTAGTTTTGTTCCTTCTAAACAGGAGATACAGTTCTATGATAATAGCAGGCCCAATAAGATCCTGAGTTAATGGTATAAAACGGGTATAAAAATAAACAAACTGATTCTTAATTACTGGTATTTTATTTGTAACTTCAGAATAGTCTAAAACCTTAAATGGAAACTTCCATTCGCAATTATTTATAACTCATAATCCAAATAAAAATTATTTTGAACTGTGTTTGTTCTCATTAGTCAAGCACTGAGGGCAAGGGAGACAACATGTGCAGTGTTTTAATTTGGAATTAAAAATGCCAGTTTTATAATGTATAATAAATACATTAAAACTTTGATGAGAGGTCTTCTGCTAATTTGCATATGCTGATCTGTATATTTCTTGCCATATGTTTCTGCTATAACTGAATTGAGAACAGCTGAATTTTGAGTAACCTTTGAATTTCATAAATTAATTTTTTAAAAAAGGTTTATTTTCTTTTTGTGTTTCATATTCCTTAAAGATTGTTGTGTAAGTTGTTGGTATTACCCATTTTTCACTGAAGATTGGAGCCTTCTAGTCTTGTAAATATATAGCCAGTAATACATGCAAAAGTGGTTCCAAAGCATCTATAGCACTGTGCACCGTAAAATCGATGGTTCTAGAAATGGTGTACCAAACAAGGAAATGATTGGTTATTCAAAAGTACACTGAGGGAATATTAGAAAAAATTGTTTTTACATGTCCTTTGGAGGACTGTCTCTAATGTTAAGCGTTCTTAGTCCTTTTAAAGATTAATCTGGAGAAAGAAAGCACAGCTTAAATTCTGCTATTTTGCTCTGCAGTTCACTGGTTTGTAGTTTATAAACAGTTTGTCTCATTTTTACTCTCAACTCAGGTTTCTCAGCTTCACCAACCTGTAGATTAAGCCAGAAACTTTTATTTGTAAAAGAGGTAAATTTATTATTTCTGTACCCTTGTATTACAGATGAAACATCTTTGAACAGGTCATAAGGACCTTCTTCCTTATGGCTGCTTTGAAATAAACCTCATCAGTTAATTTCACTTAAAAGAAAACATGTTTCCTTTTTGTTAAATTTTATATATGTTTTCTTTTATCTAATTGTGTGCTTATCTATGTATATTCAGGGTATCAGAGCATTGGTAAATGGCTGTGCACATACATGGTTTTGCAATGCTCCTGTCTTCTGGCCTTGTTTTTACAATCTGAGGAGGCAGGCAAAATGGCCAGGTAACCAATGCTCAGAATCTTCAGAGTCCCATTTTATAAATAAATAAGGGTCTGAAATTTAAAATACTTTGTTCTTTTGTCATGTGAATAGCACTTAAGTGAATTTTTCAAAATTTTCTGATTTGCTTTGAATTGATGGGGATACTGTTTTACATGTATAAATACCCATAAAAAAAGATCCTTAGAAGTACTTTGGTTTAAAATAACTTGCCCACTGAAAGTTATATTTGAAAATAGGACTTGGGCACTCTTGCAAATTTTGTGCCTAGTCCAGCACCTTCCACATAAAAGCATCCTTTCTCCATGCCAACCTTACAAATGTATTTTTAACCTGTGAGTTACAGCCAATTATCTGGGAAAGTCATGCATCTGTTTTCATGAAGCTGCCTACATCTTGACATAGTGTTGGATCATGGATCTTCTCTCACATTGAAGACACTTTTGACATTGAAAACACCTACCATTATAATTTGCTTCTGCCATATCAGTGGCACATGATGTAGAACTTTAAATAATAGTGAAATCCTTTATAAAATAAGGCATTGTGTGGAGTAAAAGGAAAAGGAAGAGGTCACTGAAAAAAGCCATTCAGCTATCTGATTAATTCCTCTTTTTCTTTGATTAATGCAGAGTAATTACTTACAATTTCTGCTCTTAAAATTGACAGTCCTATGTAAATTTCAACCATTATTAACTTGCATCATGTTTCATCCTTGAGAGGACTTTGTAATTGCTGAATCACAGGCTGGTTGAGGTTGGAAGGGACCTCTGGAGGTCATCTGGTCCAAGCCCCCTGCTCAAGCAGGGACATCTAGACCCAGTAACATTTAAAACTAGTGTTCTTCAGGTCTGCTATTGCTGTGGCCTCCTTGGTTAAGTCTTCTCCCCACTAAGTTTCCTGTAATACTCATCTGTCTGAAAAGGTTTTAACTTTTAAAGTCGTCTGAGCTGCAGTAATATTGGTTCCTGTAATGTTCAGGGATCACTACATCTGGCCTTTCTCAACAGTAGTCGTCTTCTGGTGTGTATTTTTAAAACATTTTTATTTGTAACGGAAGACAAATTTTTATTGTTTCATGTTCTGTTCTCAGTTTGCATGTCACAGTATTACCAGCACATTTAAAACCAAAATTGCTCACTTAAATGCAGACCCTGCAGATGTCTATGAATGCCAAATTTTATGCTATAAAAATTAATCAGAAGTGTTGCTGAAGTATCTTATTGTACACTTATTGTATCTTATGTACACTTAAAAACTATGTATACATCTTATTGCTATGTGTACTTAAAAACAGAAGAAAACACTCCTTAGCAGGAGAGGAAAAAAGTTCTGCAGAACTAGATGTGCCTTCTCTGGAATTCTGTCAACAGACTTTGTTGATCATGAAGAAGTTTCCAGATCTGCAGATAAATTTGTAACATGCAAATAGGGATCTAAATTAAAGTTCTGAACTCCGTTAGAGATGTGTTTAATCATTATGTGGCAGATCTTACAACATGCAAGTGACCAGGTTTTATGCCCATTCCCCGTGTATCAAACTTTCTACGAAGTGGAACTTTTGTATTATGGAAAACAGATCCATGACTCAATCTGTGACTGACATGAGTTACATAAAATCATATGTAAATGAATGCCTTCCAACGGCACGTCTGAAAACCCAAAATATTTGTCTTCCTTCGGATGGCATTTAGAATAAGTGTTCTGCATACTCATTATCAAGGATTCCACATCACCTGCTGGAAGACACAAAAATATTGTTTTCTCTTTCCTGGTCCTGAGTGAGAGAAATCTAAGCTGACCCTGACTCTTTGCTAGGAAGTTGGGATATACTGAAATGAGTGTGTACCTACGAGTGCATAAATGCTACCTTCCACATCAATAATGAATCGTTAATAGCTGAGAAATGGTTTCTTTCTGGACTAAAAAAAAATCTAGGTATCTTAGAAAAAATATTGCCATGTCTGAAAATAAAAACCAGAAAATTTTCAAACTCATTAAACAAGACAACAAATGAAATAGCTGAGTTGAGCAGCAAGGAATCGATAACTGCTGTTTCAGATAACTGCATGGACTTAGAGTGGCTCTGGAGGTGTAGGATGAAGCTGTGTAGGTTAGTGACTTCACTAGCTTTGTGGTAGCAGAGGTAAAAGGAAGAAGGTAAGGAATTGTCTATGCATTCTAGTTCAGTGATACTTTTAAATATCATGTCGGAAGTAATCAAAGGAATACATAAGATTTTTTTTTTCTGTGAGATTTGAGACACAGCTTGTTATGACACATCAGTGTAATCTTTGTCTATGAGTCACAGGCCCAGCCCATAGACCTATTTCAACATATGTCTAATTTTTAACATGTGGGCAGTTGCCATATAAAGACTCTCAGGCAGTTTTTTATATGGGATGTGAGATATATCCACATTCTTGTTTCGTATTGTTTGTGAAGAGCTGCAGGATTTTAGTCATGTTGAATGTGGATGAAAAATTTTAAAAGCAGGATCAGAGCTGACAGCAGCAGACTTACAGAGCTATGTGAATACACTTTTAGGACTAACACCATAGTATGTAAACCATTTTGGATATTCTTTCTGATGAGAAAAGATATGATGGTGTTAATTTGCCACTGCTGTTTTCTACATTTGGCTATGAAATAACTTCATTGATTTCAGCTATGTTAACTTTTATTCTGAAAAGCAGTAGTGTTTGAGAACAAAGAGAGGAAAACAGTAAAAATCTGTGTAAATGCCTGTTTGTGGTATTAAATTTATTTTTGCCTATACCACAGGCTTACATTCCAAAGGCCAATTTCATATTATCTGTAATACATTCTTACAGTAGAAACTCGCTAGAGGTCATTTCAGAAGGGAAAACTATAACTTATAAAATGTGATTAACCAGTTGTAAAGAAGACCAATAATCTCAACAGTGTTACACTATTTAGGGTACGTATAAAGTTACCAGTACTGCCAAATCATTTGTACTCTCTTGTGCTGCTAACTTTATTATCAGTCTGATCAATATTACACGGTTGGGACATTCTTCCACTGTATACATGAAAACAATTATATTTTCCCAGCTATATTGTAATCAGATTATTTACCTTCAGAGGTCTGTAGGTTTACTGTGTTTCTTTCGTTTCTGCCAAATTAGTTTTTTTTTTAAAGCAGAGTGGGAGGATTAGTAACTCAACTGATTTTGAAAGAATGAACATTTACCCGAAACTGTGTAGTGATTCTTTGTAAACAGAAATTGAACTTGCACCGAATCTTATATTTAAATACAATGAAAAATGGTATCAGTTGTTCAGTGCAGTACTACATGTTTGAAAACAGCTCATCAAAACATCTTCTGATTAGGATGCACAGTCTTTTGCTTTTCTTCAATGCTATTAAGATTTTTAGAAGGAATACAAAATCCCATGTTAGACCTTTTTAATGTTTAAGTCCTGAGACTGAAATTTTGCCTGGCTTCCAACCTTTGATTTCTCTGATTAATAAAAGTTGGGTCTTCTGTAATGAATTTGGATGTATGCTATTTGGCATTTAAGTATAGCCTGCCTGGAGCTGACGATTTATTATATTTTTTAAAGGCCATGATTAAAAGTTTTATGGATATCTACCAACTTGCAAGTTCCAGAATTGACATGTTAGTGAGAGAAGCAGCACCTCATCAGCTTCATGGTGCAGCCCTAAAGTCCAAGCTCCAAACAGCTTGTCTTCATGAAAGTGAGAGCTTACAATTGGTAAGTCTGCTTTTCAAGTAATTTTTGTCATTTGGATGTGGTTTCCTAGCCAGCATCTCCCTTCATGCTACATAGTTTCTGTAGGGAAATACGATAATTTTTCATTATAGACATAATAGAGCAATAAAACTGGTGTCAACAGAAACCTTCTGAGACTTTTTCAGAAGAGAAAGGGGGTGGTTAACACTAGGATTAATTTTACTACTGTATCTTCTACAAGGAACTGTTCATTGTTGCTGTCGCTGGAAAAGTATACATTGTGATTTCTTTGTTTTTGGCAAATGGTTGAATTTTGGACCTGAAGAATTTACCCATCTGTAGATATAGCACCATATAAAACAGAATGTTATTAACTGTGCATGTAAACAAAATATTTATTAGGAGACATGATTTTTCTTTTTTTAGACAATTGTGGTTATGAATGATACTTCTCACTAAAGTTACAAGGTTAAAATCCAATTTCAGAAATCATTTCTTGTCTCAAATGTTGTTGCCCACAGAGATACTTGGACTTGTTTAAGGCTAATAAGATGATTCTTCAGATCTGAGATCTCTCTCTAGGGGGATTACTGAATGCAGATATATTTGTGTCACACAGGCAGGAGGCCAGACATATAAACTGTCATAAATATGTAGTCAAGTATGTCTAGAATGAGACTGTGTAAGCTGTGCAACTTGCATACACTTGATGTATTTCTTCTCCATCTTTCTTTACTTTTCCACATAGGATAAAGGGGAAAGCTTTGGAGTTTGATGGGGTTTTTTTCTCCTCTCCTTCCTCCTTTCTCTTCTTTTATTCTTGTGAAGCAAAGGACCATAAAGAAAACAAGGATTGTTGGTCTTTCTTTTTGAAACAGAAAATCTGTAAGAAGAGAGGCATCACTAATGCAGATGACATAAACACATCAGCAAATGTATATTCAAAGGCTGTGGCCATGGCTTTGGTTGTTTCCAACAGAATTACATTAATTTCTTATCCTGCTTCTAAATTGTATTAGCACAATGGGAAATTAGCACGAATAGGAAATATATTAATCAGTGCTGAATTTCAGTTTTAAGATCTTGAGATGATAATTGTTGAATGAAAGCTTTGTTTTATTTGTAACTGCACAACCTTTCTAAGAAACTAAATTAAATTACTTCACTGAAGTTGCTTCTTTTCTCCTCCAACCAGGCTTTCTTTGTTTTCTACTAGGTTTACATGTGTCCTGCTGAGCCTGTGCCCAGTGTAATTGGGTTGCTCCTTTGCCTGTTATGATTGTTTTTGTTGTTTAAATCAAGATGACCACTTGTGTACTAAGGATCAGGAAGTCTGCCAAACCTGCTGCAGCAAGGTTTGCTTTCATTTGGATTGAGAGAGCTTTTAGCAAAGATTATGCTAGTCCTGTCTATGAAGGGCTATGCAGTGGCTTGATATGTTACAGTGAAAACAAATGCCTTGCCCCCCAGCTCTCTGATGCCTGTGATTAAATGCAGTGGTTTTAAAGTAATTTGTGTCTGCCTACAGTATCACTGTAAAGATGATACTTTTTGCATTGTAGTAGGATCTACTGGCCCTTCTGTACAACCATCTAGGGAGAAGAATAGTTATTCCTTTAGATGCAGTTCAATTTTAACCTAAGCATGAGCATTAATAGAAAGTGTTTTAAAATTTTAATGTAAAGGCAAAAAATTTAGAATGATAGATTCTCACGTTTCCATGAAAAAAATATAAGTGTTTATGGTATATGTTGTAGTATTGGGGTTTTCTGTAAAGCTTGTCCCTAATATTTGCAAAAGTTGCATCAAGCTTGACTTTTAATAACTTCAGGCACCACAGGTTTCCGGAGTAACTTACGCTTTAAAGTTTCAGCCGATACTGTTCTGTTCTGATTTTGAGGAAGAAGTTTTGCACTAAATTTCTTTCTGTATTAAAAAAAGTAGGACAGATTTTTTTGCTTGATTATTTTAAATGAAAGGGAGTAATGACTTTTCTTGAGCATCTATTTGGTTTCAGAATTGTACACATTTTGTTGGTTTCAATCCGCTGTGTTCAATCACATATCCGATTCTAGTAATGTTGCAGGCAAAACTTTTCATGTAGGAAGCAAACACAGCACCTGGACTGTATTAATTGCAAGTCTTCATGTGATGTACACTTGTGTTCCTAGAACAGTGACCTATTGATCAGTGCTGAAACACATTTTTGAATAGTCTTTCAGGTGTATACCATGTGTGGACTCTTACCTTGTAAGATTGGGGTTTATCTCACTATGTTGTGGCTGTCTCTTGATGTCTTCTATGCTAGTTGCATAAGGTTCTTGCCCTCCCAACTGTCCATTGGATCCAAGTTTGGGCCATTCATCAGTATTGATCTTTTCCATATTCAAAAGGTATTGCTTTCCTAATTGACCTTTTTGTACTGAAACTTACTAAATACATCACCTTTCTTTCTATTCACACCACTTTTTTCCTCTTCTAGTGCTTTGGGGTTTGCTGATAATTGTAAAAACAAAACTGATGCCATAAGGCAACATCAGTGATTCTGACTCCTCATCTTTTATCTAAGACTCTGAATTGACATCTCCATCCTCCAGTCTACTTTTAGTCCAACCACTTTCCTTCTAGTCAATAGTGTTTAGATTCTGAGATTGCTATGTGTGCTCATGCTAATGCCAACAGAGAGGAACAGGAAGGGATATGATTATGATGGACAGAGGTGAGATGAATGCTGGAAACACAGCTTACAGAGAAGAGAATTATTATGTGGGGTGAAGGGGAGTCAATAGCACAATGTCTCTCTACTCTTCATTAGTGTCCAGCTATCTGTCTGTCATACTCTTCTCTGATGATTCTTCCTCTGTGCAGAGAAAGGCCCTCTGCATTTTTCATTCTTGCAACTCTGTAAAATTGAGTATGGCTGAAATACAGATTATTGGTTTTCTACCTAAACATTCTTTTTTTTTCCATTGTTCCCTATTCCTGTATCTCTTTCCTGTTTTTTTGTTGTTGTTGTTGTTCTTTATTTAATTTCTCCTGTTTTTTTTTTCCTTTACCAAATGCTTCTGAAATTTCCCTTACATTTCTAAAATGTCTTTCTCTTTTATTTCTGTTATCAAACCATTAACATTGTGTAATAGTCTTTCTTTGCAACCATAACAGTTTCACTTCTGTGCATTTCCTTGTTTTTTAAAATTTACTTTCACTGAAGTGCAAGTACCACAGTCACAATTTTGTCTTCCATAACTTGCTGCATCCCCACATTAAGGGTCGTATCTATAATTGGTAGAGCTAATAAGAGTTCAGCTAAGAAGGTGTCATTGATATGGCCATATGTAGTCTTTATTATAAGGATGTAGGTTGCTAGAGGAGGAACAGCGAAACCAGCAGTCAACATGTAGCATGAAATAAGGTGGAGAATTATTTCACTGAGCATTGAACTCAGTAGTGGACTGGCACTGCCATTTTCTCCATGAAATTTAAGAAACTGTTTTGTTTTCCTTTACATGTCTCTGCCTTTATGCCTTCTTACGATTTTCCTCAGAAAAGCTTAATGTGCTTAGAAGGTGGGTTTGGTGGAAGTACTTCACTGGTAGTAACTAACTGTACACCTGATCTGTATGTAAGCAGAGAAGATATCAGCTAAAATGTTCTTGTGTTTCTTTTTTCCTGCCTATTTCTTGTTCAGCAATATCTAGGAATATAAACACCATGAACTGGACTGTGCTCCAAGGTTTCCTATTAAATGAACACTTGCCAGTTACTTTAACAGTACTGGATTCTGCTGCTTTGATCCATTTTACTTCTTCAGATACATTCATTTATTACTATACTTGCACTTTCTTTCAGAGTTGCAGTAATAACTAGGCTTTGAACTGAGAACTTTTAAGTGCTGTACTGTGCAGTAGTGTAGTCATAAGCAATTACTTTGTGGGTGCTGTTGGGCAACATGTGGCATCATATTAGTCACATGGCAAGCATGTGAATCCATGGTATCTGTACTGCCAGAGTTTGTTGCTGCAAGCAGAGTGTTGTGGGGAGTGGATGCAGTGACACTGTATTTTCCAGTGTGACCTGACACATATGAGGAACTGACAGAATTAAATTTGTAATAAAATTTTTCCATAAAGTGTTTTCATAGCTTTCAGCCCTGAGATTTTGTACCTGATGTCAATACTGCTGTCAGAATTTTAAGAATTTAAAATATTCTGGTACCAGTTTTGGCAAACAAAAGGAGCCACTGTTACATTACAAGTGGTCAGATCTGATCCTGTCTGTGCAGCTGATCTGGTGATATTCCTTCCTTTTTCTGCTTTCACTTCAGAATCAAAGGAGAGTAGAAAATGAAGGGGAAAATACAGTAATTTATAAAGATGATGAAGTGAGAAAAGTTTTGTGTGCACTGGAGAAATGGAAATTTGGGGAGCCAAAAGGATAACTTTAACTGAAAGGGGCAGAAGGTGAGTTTCAGATGGGTGAGAGGGGTGAAGTAAAGGTTTGTAAGAAGAGCAGAGTTCTCTGACTAACCATGAAAACAACTGTTGTCTTTGGATGCTTCTCCTAACTGGAGCTGAAAATGAAATCACTTATTGCTTTATGTGGCTTTGCATCATCTTTTTTTTTTTTTTCCTCACAGTTGTGGCTGTGTCTGTCCTTTGTCTGAAAATGCCTAGTGATATCACTGAAAATACAGGAATTGTAGGTTTTGGTAAGGTGAGAGAAGCAAGTAGAATGATCTTATGTGTGAAAAATCCATATTTATTGTTGAGATGCTAGTAATTGATGCACACTTTCATATTTTTGTCTTGAAGAATCGCATTAAGAAAAATGTACACTTTTCTTCCTACTCAGAACAGTCAGCTCGCAGTTCTCATGATCTACTTGAACCCCACTCATGGAGAGGAGAGAGAAAAGAAATATCTAAAATTCAAACTTACTAGTTTACACCACTGACAGTTTCTTCCTACTTAGCCAGGCTGGTCAGAGCAGTGGGTTTACATGTCTTTCCCCCATATCCTTTGTTTCCTTGTCACCAGTTCAATCTGTGTTTCAAGGCTGAGACCTGCATCTAACAGGGATGCAATGTCTTACATTTAGAATTATGAGGATAGAACTGGAGAGAAAGAAAAAAACCTCTTTGTCTTTTCACTTGCTGCATAGGAGAAAGGCACTCACTCCATTGGTGTCGTGTTAAATGTCAAGAGAGTGTCTTTCAGGGGCCGGAGCCATATCTCTTGTGTTAGGACATGGAATGACTGATGTAGCTGGGGGAATTCTTCCCAGATGTTGCAAGAAGCAGATAGGTCCTGGATGAAAACTTTGCTTGGCTTTTCCACTACTTCATGCTAGCCTGATGCACAGTTGAACTGAAAAGATTTTTTGCAAGATTTGGAATTGAACTGGTTTTGTGAAAGATTTGGAGATACTAGTTCTTAATTTGCTTTGCAAAAAATAATTAGCCTTGTTATTTTTATTGTTACCCTCTGTCTTGCAGTGTTTTCTTGGAAATAGTCTAGGACAGAATTCAGTAAGATATGGACCTCAAATAATTTACTGTGAAACATATGAATGTTCTTAAAGTGATAGTAAAAAAAAATATGACAGGCCCACAAGGAGAATATCCCAACTGTTGAGATGATAATAGACATGAAAGAGTGGAAGTATCAGTATAGGCAAAAATAGAAAACTGTATTCGTAATATTTACTAAGCTTGAAGTCTTTTACCAGGCTGAGTCCACAAAGCAGTAATATCTTCCAGAAACTTTTTTTTACTGAAATACTTGCATTTCTTACCTGATTTTAAGCAATTTGGCATCACTTGCCAACCATACTGCATAGCTAAGGAATGCAGGTATCCAAGTGCAAATGCTCACCTTGTCATGTGGTATTGCTTACAGAAGTAATAGTTGTAACTAAATAGTATAAATCATGTAGTTTAAACTTTTTGCTTATTATGTAGTGCCAATAAAAAAAATAATATGAAACCAATATTATAAATCACATTATGTAACTCAGGGCAAGGTGTTAAAAAACATTTACAGTAATCCAACACCACATTTGCTATTTTGTAAAGAATACTTCCTTTTCTATGCAAAAATTTTTTGATACTCAATATTCTAGGTATGTGAACTTTTAACTTGTCAGACTATTGTAACATATTTGAAAATTGTAGTAATTTGATTAAAATGTTGCCTATAAGGCAAAAGGTTCAGTTAATAGAATCCATATGTAATTAAAATGCAGAACTAAATGTAATCAGACCCCAGTGACTGGTGCCTTCATATTGATAGTTTTACAATGGCCTCTGGGGTTGAAAGTTTATGTTAAAGTTACTAATGTAGCTGTGCTCCAGAAAAAGAGCAAGACAGTTTAGCTGTTTCAAATATGACAACGTTCTGAAGTGGTAGTCACACAACTAAAATAGTTGATAGTCTGAATTTTAGGGGTATCTTCCACTGGCAGGTGGTAGAAGCGCAAGACTGCTGGAGTGTACTAGTCAGAGAATTGCATTCAGCAGCAACACTGCTACATAAACATCCCCAAATGAAGGATCGTGCTGTGAGCAAGCAACGGTGTATTTTTTTAATAGTATAGTTACTTAATTTGTGTGAATTCATGTTTGAATCATCTGAAAGTTATAGACACAACACTATGTACCAAGCCACAAAAGAAGTTTAAAAAAATTTCCTGAACTTAAAAAAAAAATATTATTTTCTCTGGACAGTTTTAAGAGTCGACATCCTGTGTTAGAGTTCTCTAATCATCACCAGCACAATTTACAATCAGAACACACAGAGAGCCAGTTCAGACCAGCTCATCTGTTGACTTTGGCAGAAGCCCTTAATCTCACTGTGTGCAGCTGCCACTTGAGAGCTGGGGACTCGGCAGAGAGCCGAAGGAGGGTGGGATGCAGGGTTGGTCAAGGCATGAACACATAGGCCTGCTTCATTTCAACAGCCGTACACTGCTTTTTTATAGTCTTTTCATTTTACAGCCTTTTTTTTTTTTTAAAAAAAAAAAAACCACTGAAATTAAATGAGGACCTCTCATGAGCCACTGCGCTCCAGGCATAAGAAATTGTAATGTCTGGCTTCCAGAAACTGTCCCGTCAAAATGTGCTTCTGATTAGGTGGCTTAATTACAGCTGTGAAAACAATGTTGATTTAGGCCTCAAGATTCCAGTGCATGTCAGCCGTTATTAGCTAGCCTTGGACTGAAGCCACCATTTTAAAACTCTGTACCACTAAAGTCACACAGTGCCTGACAACTTTTTATTTAGGCAGAAATGTTGCCAGAAGCAACACTTTTTATGCAAAATATTTTTCATTGCGCAAATTTCAAATGTGACACTGTTGATGGACATAAAATGGGTAGTTACGGGTGAACTTCACCAAGTCCAAAACCTAACTTTTGCAAAAAAAAACCCCAACAACCAAAACCACCAACACCCCCCCCACCGTTTCAAATAGTTTTTATAAAGTTTGACTGACATAATGCTTAATTTTAATTCCTTTAATTCAGTTTTATTCCAAATCCAGCATGTTGGTTTAACCACCCAATTTTATTGCATCTAAATTTTCCTGACAGTTTCATTTGCTGTTGGGAAATAAAATTGCCGTTTTTGCAACATGGGAAATAATGGCTAGTTTCAAAACCAATATGTTTGAAACTTCCTTTGCCTGAAGCAGGTTAAGGCACACACTCAATTTACTTTAGGGGAAAAAAGCTCATTAAATAGTTTTTAATATTTTAATATAATTTAAGTAACTGCTTTCACAGTGGGAAGGCTTATTAGGCCCATGTATTTACACCTGCAGAGAGGTAAACGTTTGGGTAATTAGGAGGTTTCCAATACTTCAGCTTTTCAGTGTAGTTGCGGAGTTAATGCTGTAAACACTGTAGATGGACACAATGCATTCACTGCATTTAAACATTACATTTCCACTTGTATTTTGCTTTCAGGTGCTTAAGAAACAGGTTTAAGTGGGGTGGTTTGTTGGGGTTTTTTTTGCTTTGTTTTGTCTGTTCTTAAAGTCTCTTTAATGACATGAACTGGCTAAGGAATGTGAGTGAATGTGTGTGGGTGTTAGCTCTCGGCAGAGGCTGGTGCTTTGGAAAAGCAAGATCTACATTCTCACTTCACAGTTGCCATGAAATTCCAAATGTCCATGCTGTGCCGTTTAATGGAAACCATGAAGTTCCTAAATGACCGCAGGTTTGTTCCGATGTTAAGCACAAAACAAATCTTTCAAGTCTTTGGCTGAGTCACAAAAAAGGAGGGTCATGTTTTCAGGAAGCTAATCTTTCCTTTTTTTCCTTCATGGTTTGCATTTCTATGGCATTAGAAATGTGTTTCTAGTGAGGTACTGGAACTACCAGCTCACAGACAAGGGTCCTTAGTTCCCAGGACTGAAAACAAGACACTTGGAACCTGAAGCTGCATTCATCTCTTATCCTAAATGCTCAGGCCAGTGCAACAATTGTACCTCCCAGAGCAACTAATTGGAAATTGACTTACAGAAACTAATGATTTGGATAAGGAAACAAGTCTAAGGGGTAGGTTCAGGTTTGCCCTGTAAAAAATCATCATGCATTCATTCTCTGCCTTCAGCGGATTAACAGAGAAAAAGGAAGTGAATGCCTACACTTCATTTTGTTCACTTTTTGAAAGTGAAATACTGCAACGAGCTAGTCTCTTATTTTCTTTGCAAAATGGTACATGGGGTTTCTGAACCTGAATGTTTCAGAAGGGCCCCAGTTGCTGTGGAGGGCAACTGTGAGGCAGGAGACAGCCATGTGATGCCATATTCCTTATTAGATAGATGTCTTTGCAGTGGTCTTTCAAAATGCGTTTCATTGGTAATGTGCAATGAGTTTTATTCACCAGCCGCGTATGTTTACTTCCTGTTTTCTACACACCCCTGTTTCTTTTGCCTTCTTCCCACACCTCTCAAAGTGACATTTTCAGCACATCAAATTAAAAGAAACTTTTCTATATTATTATGTATACTGCTAATACTGCAATAGAAATAAAAGTATTGGGCGTGCTAGACAGGCTGTTATTTTGAGAACTGGGTATTATAGACCAGGACATTTAACCCTGGGAAAAAGTTTTGACAAAAGAATAGAGCCGAGGACATAATTTTACTGGCTTTATAGAAGAAAAGGAATATTCTCTACAAAGGCAGACAAATTCACTTCTTTCCAGACTCAAGGACTTTTACTCAGGCCAGAAGGTGCTTCCTCCTCCCTTTTGAAGAAGTTATTTCAAGAAAGAGAGCTGGGAAGCTTCTATTATTCCCTGCTAAACTGTGGGTTAAACATAAAGGGAACGTCTGTTTGTTCTGAGACTCTGAATTCTCTGAGAAATTTTTAGAGGGGATTAAAGCATAGCTGTGCCTGAATGAGTCTAGCTTAGATACTTAAATGGCGAAGGAACCTATGCAATCCAGATTGTCATCTTCCTGATATTTTCTTGACATTTTAAATGTAGATCCTATAAGGTGTACTGTTGTGAATAATTGTTTTCTTGTTCTGACACCTGCTTGGTTTTGTGTTTCAAGCTAAGTATGTAAAGCACTGTTTATAAGGAGAAAATTCAGTGCTGATCTTCAGGCATTAGCTTTGATAAATAGTTCAAGATGTATAGATGCTACATGTGAGTTGCAGTTCAATAGGCAGGGATGATAGGTGGAAGGATTTTTGTTGGTTTTGTGGTGTTTTGTGTTTACTTTGTACCACTAGCTTACTGTCCAGTTCTCGGGGAAAAAAGAGAATAAGACCTAGGGCAGTGTTTCGAGGAGTCTGCCTCTTCCTTAGCCAGCCTCAGAAATGCATATATGTGCAGCATGCCCCCCACTTACAATGTAGCATGGACAATGCTACATGCACCCTTTTAAAAAAAAAAAAAAGAAAAAAAAAAAGAAATTTGTGCTGACATTTAACTGGATTGGTGCTGGAGAATCTGTTTAAGCATAAAACTGTATTTAAAATAGTGGGGAAGTAAGTATTCCCCTCAAAAGATGTACTGTAAGTGTTTGTAAAACTAAATCTCATGTTTAGAGGTTTATGTTTCCCTCTGGATGGCAGGGAGACAACCGATGCCCCACCACCAGAGAATTCAGTGCCAGCTAGCCGGCAAACTTTCCTCCACAGGAGACAACTGTCTCTGATGCTGTATCTCCTTTTAGTCTCTGCTTCTGGTATGCTGACTGGAAGTCAGGTCATGGGAGCACAAGGATGGGTATCATCTCCACCCCTGGTCCCACAGCAGATTTCTCAGCTGTCAGACCTCACCTCACTAGTCCAAGTGGAGGAGGAGTGGATCTTCCGCAGGCCAAAGGGAGATAATGAGAGCGATGAAGAAGGGTAGCTGTAAACCATAGCATACTTTGTGCCTTTCTGGAATTTATAAAATCAGATTGTTTTTCTATTGGTTTGCTCATTCCCCCTGCCTTCTCCTTCAGTTGTGCATGTTTGCATCCTTTTCAGCTGGGGAAAAAAGAACAAACCTTTGCATTCCTTTCTGTGACATTTTTGCAGTAGGGTAATGTGTTTTTGTAGAAATACATGTGTTTACCTAATTCCATTGCCTGATTGCTTGCATTTTGTACTTTAAGCATAAAAGTTAATGCGAGATATGAAAAAAAACCCTTTAAAATACATTAGAGAGTATGACTTGCAGAGATAAAAAGACAGGAAATTCAGAGTTAGGGCATGAAGCATAACACTGTTCTTAACTCTTAATTTTATTCCTGTAATGTTGACATGATTTAAGGGCATGCAGTCAGCAAGTTACATCTTAATGTTTATTTTTATTAGGTTTTACATATTTAAGTCACACTGCTTAATATTTACCCAAAATTTATTTATTTATTTATTGTTGTTGGTTTTAAGTTAGGTATAAAAACTTTTCATGGAAGTCTGTGAAACCCACATTATGTAGTGAAGGCACAGTTTTTCCAGTTGATCATAGTAAGGACCTGTTTGCTCCAGAGACTGGGATCCCTGAAGCAGTTTGGCCTGTTGAATAAACTAGTACTTGAACAAATTTTATAAAATTAATTGTTTATAATTTCACAAAAAAATGTGAAATGAGTACACAGTAGGGTAAAGAGCTTGATTGTCATCTAAAAGGATGTTATCATGATAATAATCTTGATTTTTCAAATAACTTCTGTTTTCTTCAGTTTGTGTGATGGTTCAGTTAAAGAAAGACATTTAGAAACAAATGTGCTTCTTAAGCTATGTCTTTCCCATTGTACAAGAATTTCGGTTTTTTGTTGACTTAAACATTTCAGAAATGCTACCTTTTGGAAAGGAAGGACCCTCTTTTTGTTAAGCAATCAATTGACTTTTGGGGTTTTTAATGGAAAGTGGATACCTTTAAAATGCATAGTAAGTAATAAAATTTACTAAAAATATAGGCAAGAATAGTGTGGTTAATCACCAGCAGAGTTTCCCTGCCACATGTGATTATATTAGGAAAGCAAAGTGACATTATGATGATGCAATGATTCCATTTCATGCTTTTTAGATAGTTTAACAGCTTCAGTTCCTACAGCTTTTTAGAGAGGGACCCATGGAACCTTTAAAGCCATGTTGCTTTAAGACACCACACTTTTGGATCTTTTGGATCAACTGAAATTGGCCCATAAACCCATAGTTCACTCAGTAAATGTCACTGCAAAGCTGACATTTCAATACTTGCCTCTCTTAAATTTGTATGTTCGCCAATATTTTGAAAGCCTTTTGTCCTATCTAGGTGTTGCAGGTAATTTGACAAAGAAAGCCCTTGGAGGCCAGAGCCACAATAATTAAATAATTCACTATTTTTTCAGCTTTTGTTGAGTACCAAGGGTCTCATTTGATCGCAAAAGGATCAGCTTATGTGGTGGTTATACACTTATGGTCAGGGACCAGTTAGTCTTTCAGACTCAATGTGACATCAAGTTTTCTTTCACAGGGTAAGTAAATGAATTGCACTCTTTTGGGAGCCTGAGCATGTATTGTAACTTAACCAGGACTTTGCAAAGCTTCCTGACACTTAAAGTCATCCAGTTTCATATTAATTTGTGCATGTCAAAACATGCCATTGCTTTAGGAATTTCTAGTTTAATTTAATAACTTACTGAAGTTTACTACACTTTTAACAGATTTTTTTAGAAGAGCATAATCTAATTGGGAGCTCTGAATAAAGGAATTTAAGGTATCATTCTGGAATGTACAAGGCACACCAAGTTACTGAAACCTCCCCGTGTAAAATGATTTTTTAAAGTTGTGTTACAGCTTTCTTGTTTTTCAAAAACCAAAAAGCTGAAGAAACCTCTCTCCAAGTCTCCTTCTATGTTCTTCTTGACTCTTCCGATAAAATTTTTACATGCCTGATGAAAGTTTGTAGTGTTGTATGTGGTGGTGGTTCTGGTTTGGGGTTTTTTTGTTTGTTTTAACTCTTCTGTGCTTTCAGAACACACAAACACACAATTGGCATATATATATGAAAGGATTCACATAAAATATGATTGGTGTGCAGGAAATAACAGTTCCATTTGCCTAGTGGACTCACTTGAACTGCATGTTCAGCCTCACAGAAAGTAATGACCTAGTACCTGCACTAAGAGTAGCTCTTACAGGCAAATTGTGCTCAGAAATCTAGTAAGTATAAAAAGTTCTGCTGAAGTAATTATTAGATTTTTTTATTTAATTTCAGTCTGAAGTATAAATGTATATATAAATTTGGCCAAACCCAATAGAGACAGTAAACCTAGCTCACCCACACTCAAGTTGTTTATAACTGATAAGCTTGATTCCTTGCCCAGTTAGTGTAATTTGGATCTTGCATTGACAAAAGACCTACATGTTAGCCATCAACTGAAATTGAGCCTAAAATATTTTTTTTTAGGCTATTCAGATATCAACTGATATTTTATAAGCAATACTGCCAGAAAGCCAACTGTTTTCCATGAGCATTACTGTTATAAAAATACCCTTTAGAAATCTGTTTAATATATACTGCTTCAGCTATTGCATGCAATTTATGGGAGAAGGAGTAACTCCCTCCTGAAGTTACTTCAACTAAGTTTTACTGGGGGTGAATGAACATGCTTAGTTTGGATAAGCAAACAGAAGTTTGAAAACTATCCCAAACCTACAGGGAGCCAAATGTACCTCTTGTGAATCTTCCTCTAAGCTAGTTTATGGGGGAAGGGGATGGAGCCTTTATCAGGATTTTGTCTGGGAGGTAGGAGGCTACACATCTGCAGTGGACAGTCCAGAAAATGTACACTACACTGGCCAGTGCTAAAAGGGTGGAACCCTTTGTCCTCCTAATGCATTGATGATTTTAATAATTAACATTCATTTTGAGAAAATGAAGTTGACTAGTAATAGTTCGCTTCTAAGCATGTGGTATAAGTCAGTCATTTTTTGCGCTATAATTAGAGTATCTTTTTAAGAGGCTACTCAGTTTAATACACTTATTTAGATGAACTGATATTTAGATTAGCCTGTAGCCTAACACAAATGCAGATGTTCTTACTCAGCATGCAAGCGTTTGTCTGTATTTTGGATAACAGATTACAATCAGTCTGTTTTTCAAATAGGTGCAGATAGGTTGCATAAACCATGTCTGTATCCAGTTTATGATCCTAATTCTGTTGTCTCTTAAGAGCTAACATCAATCTGCTGTTTGTTAGGGGATGCTAAAGGCTGTCAATTCATGATATCAGCATTTCCCTTCTCACTTCAGGATTATGAACACCAGATTATATTCTCACAACCAAGTGGACTGAAATCACTTTTTGCTCACCTAAAGGTTTTTAGAGAGATCTGCAATGATATTCTCCACTAAGAGGCCTTGTGTGTCCATGGCGCTTCATTTTAAGTCTGAGTAATACCATTTTCCTGCTTGAAATCTGAGTGAGATGTTCGCTACATTTTTTGTCATTGCTGCAAAACTACCCATTTTTGCATCAGCAACCTCTGCCAGAGGTGCGCGAGTTCCAAGTCCTTATGACTTGCTTCTTTTCACCACCTTTCATAAAGATAAGTTGGTTCTGTGTCCTTGCCATAAATTCCTGTCGAGTGAGGTGTCTGCTTTACACCTCAATCAATATATTTCCTTTTTGTTTTTCTTCCTTCATGCTTATGGCTTCTCTTGAGCTTGCACTTTCCACAAACCGGATGTCTGCTTCTCTTTATGAAAATCAGATTTATTGTGTGAAAAAATGCCCTTTCAATGGTTTTTAGAGAGAACTTCAAGAGGACTTGTCCCTGTAGATACGCTGGGAAAGCATAACTTACCTGAACTTGCAACACACCAGAACCTGAAAAAGCTGGATAGTCTTTTGAGTCTTGCATTGCTGGAGTTCTGGTAGTTGAAACCCCTAAGGTCACCAGAAGGCATTTGCTACAGCGACTCCTAATTCCACTGTCCAGACACCAGTGCTCATCCAGACCATTCCACCCTTGGTGCCTCTTCAGCAAAGAGTGCTTGAACATCATCAGTACTTATTGCATATTGGATTTTTAAGGGCCTTTTCTGACCTACTCCACATATTTAATACAAATATACCTGAGAGAAGTAGCGAGCAAACTGGAGTATTCTCAAGGCATCTGTCTGCAAAGTAACAGTGAGTTCCATGTTTGTTCTTGTTGTTATATAAGCTGTCAGGACAATCCTAAAATGTTGATTTCCATTATTTTAATAGTTCATTTGTTTTGTTAGCTACATAGATTTCTATTTCTGAATATTATTCCTCAAAAATATTGCATATTGGGCAGAAATGCATAGCAAAAATTAATCTCCTGAATGCCTAAAGATTTTTTAATGCAAGAAAGCTGAATCATAAAAGACACTTTCATTGTTCCTAGACCTTTCTCCTTTATGTTGTTAAATGTTACTGTTAGAAATAATTACTTTTTCCCTCTTTCCCCCTTGCATCCATATTGCTGATACAGGATATCTTTATTAATTATAAAGTGATTGAAGTATTTCACAGAATCGTTTTTTCCAAAATGTTCATGATGATTAACTCTAGGATTCTGCATTAAAATCAGTCTTTGGTAAAAGATAGATTAACGCACCACTGGCAAAGGTCTGCTGTCCTTGTCCTGTGTAGTAGCAGAATGCCTAAATTGTAATTGCACCAGTTCAGAGCAAACAGACAAAAGGGAAGGTAGCTAAGCATTTTGCTGTGCGTGAGCAGTTAGAGGGCAAGCAGACACCATGCACCTTGACCACCTATTATGAAGCTTTTTGCTGCAATGTCAAGTGAAAGCGAGTTAATTGGGTGAAGCTGTAGAGCATGTTAGGGGCATGGTAAAGGGTTGCTGTTTGACAGCTGAATGTCAGCAGAAGGTAGTGAAGTGTGG